AAAATTTATAGCTTTTTCTGAATAATGTTACAAAAAACTGGTAAGTCTCAGAGCAAAATTAAACTTTTGTTAACTAAGCTCTTGATAATTTTGCTGGTTAAGATTTTAACAAGCTCTAGCATTTGTTGAAGTCTGCTCCTGTCTCTCATTTAATTATACTATTTGTTAAAAGTGTGTGTATCGCAGCCTTCACAAGTTCTCTTAAGTACTTGGGTAGTTCTAATGTAAGCTTCCTCATTCCATCAGTTTTAAGGATAAGAAGGAAATCAATCATCAAGCCCATTCAGTCCTTTATTTCTGTAGAAAACTGAAATTTAGGAATGATTCTGATGAAGGCTTTTCTAATGTGACTAACTTTCCACCGGAAAGCCCAGGGACTGCTGAATAGTCACTGGATGACAGTTCAATTATGAGGTAGGCTTAAATCTCATTTTACAATCTGAGAGTGAAATTTGAACAGATAGAGGACAAGTGATGACACTGACCTTCTTTAGGTGAATAAAAATGGGAATATTGAAAGAATCTCCAGAAGGATCTACTATTGTTGGACTACCATAGTTATGGAATTTATAGAGAAATTGGGCTGGAAAGTAACTTCAGGAAGCCCATCCTGTCCAGCTCCTTACTGAAGGCAAAATGATCAGTGAGGGCCAACCATGAACAGATCTAGAATTTTGCAAATCGTGCATCATCACATATAAAACAACACACATTTTTCTCGAATGAAAAATAAACTAGGAGCTTTACTATAATATGTTACTATACTATGAGCTTTACTATACTATTTAGTTCAACATTGAAGCAAAAACTTTATTGGAATGAGTTTTGAACAAACTGCAGGGCTGTGAAGTAGGAGCTTCATTACCAGGAGCAGCTTACAAAAAGCAGAATTCCAAAAAAAGAATAACTTGACTGGTAGAACATCAAGGGCATTATAAAGAAGAGAGAGGCCATTAACACCTGTGGAATGAAGAGTTTAGAAGGAATCTGGTAGATGATGAACCCTGAAGTCAGCTGACTCCCTCAGCACTGCCTGACTAGAAATGTTGCTGCCACTGCCAGGCAGTTGGTTTTCAACTTTGGGTGGAGCAGGAATTAAATGGGGGATGAAAGTGCACAAGTATACCCCCTGGATCTGCCCCTTGCACCAACCCTTTTTGAAGGTGTTTCACAAATTAGCCTCTCGCCCTCTCCAAGCACCACTCTGATCTCCTTCCCCTGCCTAATCTGTTACTTTGCTTTTTGCTTCCTGCTCTCTTCCCAATCTGACATGTGCCACACAGATCCTGTCTGTGTCAATTGTGGTACCTATGCCACAGGTTGGCCACTGCTGGCCTAACTAACTGAGGTCCACTGTCTGTTTTACTTAGTCTTAAAACCTCACAAGGATGGATATTCCACAGCATCTCTAGATAATCTGAGTCAGAGCTGATCAAACTCACAGGCAGAAAAATCTTGTGAATATCCAACCTAAATCTCACTTATTGCAGCAATACCTTATATCTTGTCCTTCATGAGCACTGAGAAAAAATGATCACCACTTTCTGTATAAGAATCCTTCTTGTGCTTGAAAACTGCATCAAATCCCCTTCAGTCTTCATATCCCCTTACTAAGTACTCTCGGTTCTTCCAACCTTTACTCTTATATCCTGTTGTTTGAACCTCTCCACTCATCACTGTTGTTCTCCTCTGAGCTCTTTCCAGTTTGTAAATGTCTTTCTTGCAGTGCCAAAACCAGATGCAGCAATCCAAATGAGACCTTGTGGGGCTGAATAGAAAGAAAAAAACTGTTCCTTGTGACTTGATTATTATTATTATTATTATTTTTATATATGATATGATATTAGCCTTTATTGCATAAATATCATACTGCTGATTCACATTAAGCTGTAACAGTCTACTGTAAGTCCACTACAGGTTCCTTTCTACAAAAATTCAGCCTAGCCAACCATTACCCATTTTGCAATTGCTTATTTGATTGTTCCTTTCTAAGGATTTTGCAGTTGCCTTTATTGAATTTCACCCTATTTATCTCAGACTATTTTACCAGTTTATCAAAGTCATTTTATATCCTACTTCTTGAGCTACTTCCATCAACTTGATGCCATCTACAATTCGACTAAGTGCATACTCAATTCCATCCTCCAGATTCATTAACAAAGATATAATTGCATACTGAACACAGTATAGATCCCTGGGGAATCGCACTTGATGCTACTATCAAAGTTGATGTACAGATGTTTATGATTACTCTTTGAGCACAATTATCCATTCAGTTATGTCACACCCAGTGATCTCTCCATCTCAATAAGCCTATCACTTTGTTGTAGAATAAAGTCAGGTTGGTTAGCTATGACTTACTCTTGACACAATCATATTAACTATTCTTTATCTACTTCTTATCACCTAGAAGCTTACAAATCAATATTTTAATGGTATGCTGCAGTATCTTTCCAACTAATAGAGATAGTTTTTAATTACCAGGATCCTCCTTTCCCCTCCTTTTTAAAAACAGTTTTCTATATTTCATAATGGGTGATTAACATTTTTCTTGAATAAATGGAAAGTAATACATGCCCTATCTCATGCCACACAGCAAGGGAAATTTTTGGATTCTACAACTTAAATTTAATTAATTTAATTTCTGAATTAAGTTGATTATTCTAAACTATCCAGCTTCTGGGATAGGGGAATGTCAGTTATAGTTGATAGTTCTGTAATATATATACAGCAGCAATTTGGAAAGTAAGTAGGACTTTATGCATCAAAAGAGACACAAGTGATGCATTTAATAAAATAAACGTCACTTAAGAACAGTGATATTTCTGTGTCAGCCTTTTTGTTTATTAAGGTGGACTAAAGGCATCATATTCTGGCAGAAGCTAATGACCTGGTGCCATGCTTGGGTGGTTTATTCTGACAGACCCCAAAATAAATGGACTTTAGGAAGGCCTTCAACACGGTCTCTTGCCCCATTCTCTTTACAAAACTAAGAGACTGTGGTGTTGATGCCTACACAGCCAGATGGGTCACTAACTGGCTGGAGGGCCACACCCAGAGAGTGGGGTTGGACGGGACCTATTCGACCTGGAGGGATGTGGACAGTGGGGTTCTGCAGGGCTCGGTCCTCGGGCCCGCACTGTTCAACATCTTCATCAGCGACTTGGACAAAGGGGTAAAATGCAAAGGGGTTCAAATTTGCAGATGACACTAAGATGTGGGGTGAAGTGGGCATGCTAGAAGGAAGGAATAGGCTGCAATCTGATCTGGACAGGCTACAGGGGTGGGCCGATGAGAACAGGATGGGTTTCGATACTGACAAGTGCAGGGTACTGCACCTGGGGAGGAAGAACCAGCAGCAGTCCTATAGGCTGGGGAACTCCCTTCTTATCAGTACAGAGGCAGAGAAGGATCTTGGAGTCATTATTGAGGCCACTATGAACATGGAACGACAGTGTGGGGATACGGTCAGGAAGGCCAACCGTACCTTGTCATGCATCCACAGATGCATCTCAAGCAGGTCCAAGGAGGTGATCCTCCCCCTCTATGCGACACTGGTCAGGCCACAGTTGGAGTATTGTGTCCAGTTCTGGGCACCGCACTTCAGAAGGGATGTGGACAGCATGGAGAGGGTCCAGAGGAGGGCCATCTGCATGATCAGGAGGCAGCAGGGCAGGCCATATGAGAAGAGGCTACAGGACCTGAACCTGTTCAACCTCCACAAGAAAAGGCTGAGGGGGGATCTAGTGGCCATTTACAAACTAGTCAGGGGGGAACCAGCAAGCATTGGGGGAGTCCCTGTTCCCCCGAGCACTACCAGGAGTGACAAGAAATAATGGTCACAAGCTGAAAGAGGGTAGATTTAGACTAGATATCAGGAGGCGCTACTTCACTGTCAGGGCGGGTAGGATCTGGAACCAACTTCCAAGAGAAGTGGTGCTGGTTCCTACCCTGGAGGTCTTTAAGAGGAGGCTGTATGAATACCTGGCTGGGGTCATTTGACCCCAGGATTCTTTCCTGCCCATGGCAGGGGGTCGGACTTGATGATCTGCTCAGGTCCCTTCCAACCCTACCAACTATGAAACTATGAAACCCCTTCCTACCTTTATGTTAGTGAGGGGAGAGAAGGCTTTTTAAAAGGATACTTGCTGTGTTTATTGATATTTCAATCCTTCCTTTGTCCATATACTAGAAGTTAGAGCAGTCCCTAAACACTAAACAGTTTATAATTCAGGACAATTATGGCTTATGTGATCTGGGAACTCCCAGGGTCTTCTGCTCATTATGTAGAAATTGGTTGCAACGAATATAACCTTGTTTCTTTACCTCTATTAAAGAAAACCAGGCTGAAGGGGGTGGGAAAGATTTTAGTCAGAAGTCTACCAGGAAGCCAGGAGTGAGATGAAGTAGCTTCAGGGATAAGCCTGTACTCTAATAAAGCTACTAATGCATTTTTAGAAAAAAAAAAAAAAAGGAATGTGCTGTGTGATCCTTTGCCACTATGACACGATATTTTCTAAACAATTTTTATTTGGTCCAAGAAGACCTAGTAGAATGGGAAATATCCAAATGAGATCATGTTTAAATATATGTTAGTGTGTGTTTGTTTTTTTTAAAGGAGGAGCATACAAGACCTAGAAACATTAAGCCTTTGAAAAGAATGAAATAAGAGGGTATTTAGTTGAAGTACCTGAGTTAATGAAAGGTGATCATATTATCTTGGGTTTTGTGTCCTGAAATGTGAGTAATGAAAATTAAGAAATGTTACAGCTACACAAGCTAAGCAAGTCATACAAAATAATCATGGCATCTTTTCCAGTGAGCTTGTCATTTCTGGAAAACATCAGGACATTTTTTCCTGTTTTTCAACTTTTCTCAACTGGCCAAGACTGGAAGTAGGGTGCCAACAAAATCAACTAATGTACTGAATATGACAATTCCTGTAGGCCCTCTTAAGACATTTTACCTTAATTTCCTCCCATCTCTTTCTTTGGTGACAGCTTCACTGCCATGCCAATTGAATGAACAGTCAAGTTCTCCAGTTGTCCACTTGTGTTTTTGTCCCCACCACGTGACATGCGCACCAATCATGGAGGCAGGTAAGAAACATAAAGCTTTCTCTTCCTTGTGGGAAGAGATTTGGTGAAGTTATCACCAAACCTGGATTTGGTGAAGTTATATGCAGGCTCTTCATGCTAAAGATGCAGAGGCAGCAAGTTCTACTTGAATAGGAAAGGCTGCAACAAACTAGAATCCTCAGGAAGGAATTTTGCTGGCATATTTCTATTCCATGTATCCCAGGATCCAATCAGACTATTCCTGGATCCATACAACAGAAGCCAGCTATAATGACTGTGATGCTCTGCACAGCTTCTTAGGCCACAGAAAGCAGAGAGTGCCCACTGTCCTCATACACAGTGGGTTCTTGGTACCATATGGGGCACTGACATCTCAGTGTTCTTAAGTGGTATTTATTTTGTTAAATGCATCACTTGTGTCCCTTTTGCTGAATAAAGTCCTACTCATGTTCTGAATTACAGCTGTATATATATTATTGAACTATTAACTATAACTGACATTCCCTCTCCTCCCCTCCTGCTCTCCACCACCAGAGAAGCTAGATAGTTTAGAATCAACTTAATTCAGAAATTAAATTTAAGTTATAGAATCCAAAGATTTCCCTTGCTGTCAAGCATGAATTGGGGCATGTATTACTTCCCATTTATTCAAGAAAAATATTAATCACCCATTATGAAATAGAGCAAACGTCTTTTAAAAAGGGGGAGAAAGGAGGATCCCAGTAATTACAAACTAGCTGTATTAGTTGGAAAGATACTTCAGCATATCATTAAAATATTGATTTGCAAACATCTAAAGGAATAGCTAATATAAATGGAGAGGCTCCAGTGCTGCAGGGTTCCTTCTCACCAGCCCTCTCTGTGATAAGCTCATTTACTTTGGCTTTCTTGGGTAGGAGGAGATTTGCCCCCCACTAATGAGTTTAATGCTTCAGTAGATAATATCCCCATGCTACCCTATCTAGTCTAGCAGAGGATCAGCAAAGGGTTAAAATATTCTGGTGGATTTCTTCCCAAGGTGGTATGCTTTGAATAGCTTCTCTATACTGATAATATGAGAACTGAAAGTTCTGGGGATAGAGAAATAGCTGTAGTTACCAGGACACTTTATTTTATCCCAGAGAACAATAATGTTAATAACTGTGAAGCTTATATGCAAGCTCATGGAAACAGCCAGTGCAATGACTGGAAGAAAGCATGTGGGGTGCCCTCATCTCAGAGTTCATCTGTAAAATGCTGAATCTAGAGAACACATTATTACTTAACCTGTTTTTATCCTAAATGAAGCAGAATCATCATGTACTAACCAATTCAAGCAGTGCATCAGGAGACTCTTTCCAAGAACAATTGAACTTGTGTATTCAATAGGGTCGCAACCGCTCAGTGTTAAAATTGAAATTCCAGGACAAATGGACAGTGTCTGGCAGGGGAGACACAGGGATAGGTTTTGGGGTACAGTTGCAC